ATTAGAACATCATGGTATGTGGTGTGTAAAGAAGTTTACTGAAAGACATAAGGTGTTTTTATGAAATATTGCTTTATGTCGAACATTAATAAATTCCTCTCCTTGCAGATTTATATCAAATTTTGAAAACCATGCATCAATGTTTATTTACCTCACAGTTAATTCATATATCCTGATGTGCAACTATGACATCAGTTCTCTTAAAACTTGTAGGTTTGTGATTAGAGAGTGAATGTAGGTGAAAAGTTGCAGAGGAGAGAATAGTTTTCCTTGAACCAGTATTAATGAACCCTTTATCTGAAAGTTATCTTCATAAAAAACTTCATTCTGCAACGTTGACAGCCTCTGGAGATTTCTAACGCTTACTATCAGAGAATAATTGCTGCTAAATCAGGATAAAATAACAGAGGGGCAGGTCTCAGAGACCCCGCTTAGACTTCTGCATTCTTAAGGCGGGTCACACCGGTTGCGTATGACTTTTTAAGGTCTGATCTGCCAAAATAAAATGTACAGCTATGTAGCAGGATCTTTGCTGAATGACTGGATATAGATCTTGTGCTTCTAGACCTCACTTAGGGACCGGGGGGGCTCCATTTGTAAGGGGTATGCAAGTGATCAAAAACTGATAAAATCTGGAATATATAGGCCTACATATTTGTCTCATTCTTTAAAACATAATGTAAAACAATCTGAGTAGTTTTCTTTGAACTCAACTTGTTATCTGGGCTGGGTAAATGAGTCAGAATCCTAACACCGCCCCTGCTCCGCTCCATGTTTTAAGACTCCATTAAATAACAATAAGCGACCTCAGTGCGCGTGCTCGTCTCTTCCATTGTTGTCATTTTTTTCATTCATCTCCGCCGAAACAAAAGGCTCGTAAATCCAGCTCTCTGATTGGTTGATAACCAGGGGAAGGAGGGGAGGGGGGCGCCCCTACGTCACAAGCCCCGCCACAACAGATGGAGCCCTCTCCTCTTCCTCCTCCTCCTCCTGCTCCTGGATGCTTGGTCCCACGCGCTCTGCTGATTGTTTGCAGCAGCAGCAGCTGTAGTCGTTAACCGACGGTTGATCCACGAGAACCGAGGAGAGGGACTGAGGAGGAGCGGAGACAGAGTCCTTTAAAGTCTGCAAGAAATCCAACGCAGGTCGGTGAAGCTAAGTCTGCCTCTGATGGAGATTTCTACTAAAAAATGTTGCTATACGGAGCTAGTAGTGTGTAATTCTGCTGTCTGAATGAAATAAATGATGCACTACAGCTGATAAGTGGAAGCTGCCTAAGAAAAGCCTTAACGACCCAAATGTATTATAGAAAAAAAAACCTTTGTTTGGTTTCTCTTTATTCATATTCAGTCAGCAACCTCAAACCAAAGTACTTTGTTTCATCTGCTGAAGAGATAGAAATAGAGAAAATGCTGCTCATTGTACAAGTATTCACTACCAGGGAATAAATATATATTAGTAAACTAGGTTACATAACAAGGGAGAGATGTTTAACATTCCCCTCAGCACACAGCTACAGCCTACTTCCCTAAGCAGAGGCTGGTTTTAAAGCTGTGCTTTTCAACTTGTGATACAAGTGGAGGTATTCAGGACACCTTTACTGGCATCAGAAATGTATTATTTTTGAAGATAAATATGCACAAGCCAAGTATGATGCAAGGCTGTATGCTCTCCAATAGTCATAACCATGTGTTCTGCAAGCAACTTGGTTATTGCTTCATCAGAAACTTCTCATAGAATAGAGGAAAGCATATAATAACGAGCAGTAAACCAGGAACCAGTATGTGGGCTTTTGTCACATTTACCTCTGAGGTCAAAGCTTGGATCAGGTAAGGACATCTGATCCAATGTAACTCTGTTTCAGATGTTCAATTTAGAAAAAAATAGCAAAATTAGAACAAGGTAGACATATTGTACATTGTCTTCACTATAACAGAAGCATACAGATAAATGCAAAGGTAAAATGATAAAATATAAAAAATATATATATAATTGAAGACTTTAGATTAAGGGCAAAGTAATGTAGGAAAAATACTACCTCAGTTTCAAAGAGTAAAGAAATGTGCAACTATGTAACACTTCAACAATTTACAAAACATAAATTCATATGTACTGATCCTAAAAAAACAAACAACAGAATTTTTACAACAAAAAACCCACTAATAACGGCTGGATATTAACACCTCTTGACAGCTACTGTTTGGAAGGATCTTCGATAACGCTCCTTAGTGCACCCAGGGTGCAGCAGTCTCTCTAAAGGAGATCCGCTGAGATGCAACAGTTTCAGCGTGTAGCAAGTTGATAAGCTAAGAGGCTATGTTAACTGCTATCAGCAATGCAAGCTAATTACAGTAAGGGTTTGTTTTCTGCTTTCAAAAAAGTTTTTCAATGGGAAACTTACTGTGAGATATGTGTCTCCTTTCTTTCAGCTGTCATGTGCAAGACAGCCATATTGGATTTTGGGTATGGGGTTGGTGAAAAATCTGTCATTCCTACTTTTAATTATCCAAGCGACCGTTTAACTCTTCTAACCTTAACTGAGGGATTGCATTTGAGTCAATGAGTCGATGCAATCGACGGGTATGCCTCAGATAGAAAACTATCAATCAATTTGACTGTATGATCTGGTTGAATTGTAAAGTGCCTTGAGATGACGTGTCATAAATTGGCACTATATAAATAAACTGAGTTGAATTGAACTCTAAAATCTAAATTGTTAGCCTCTGAGTAACAATAGAAGTCAATGTTAAATATCCTTCCGTTATTGAAGCAGAGCCACTTTTTGTTTTGTGGTATAACAACAAATTAAAAACAATCCCAGCACTATTGCCGCACATTTTTGTTTGAAAACTTACTAGTTAGTATTTAAGAATCATACCTTCTAAAGTAGTGTGACTGAATTTGGATGTTTGTTTTCTTATTTTAAATCTAATTGCACCAGATAAACAACATTGTCATCTATGATCACTCCTTTATTGTTTGAAATATTTGATTTGCTTATGGACTTTATTTTGACCCAAATGCTTAATGTCCAGATATATAATTTAGTTTTTTTTTAAATCCAAAAAGTTCCTTTAAGTCCAAATTCTGAAGGAGGAAATGTTTTATTTCCCACCAGCCCCAGCCTCGAAACCTTTTAATGCACCATGACAGCTGCTGTTATCACATCTGATGATTAGCGTCTCATTGCAGTGCTTTGCTAAATACACACAGCTGATAGACTTTTGAACATTTTGTTACATTCCATAACATAGCTAGATAGCAGCAGGAAGATTGCACTTTTTTTTTTTTAGTTTGTTTTAACAAATAATCTGGTAAATGTGCTGTTTGTTCATGTCCTGCCCCTTTCCTCTGATGCCACTAAACACCATAAAGTGTAAACAATGGCCTTTGGATGCCACACAATCCATTGACATACTTTGAAGTCGAGAGTTTGAAAGTGAAAAACCCAGATCTTGTCATGATTAATCTTGTTTCTTGAGCAAATCCCAGTGGTTTATAAATCGAGCTAACGTCTGATCATGTGGTATTACTATAGAGATAAAGGGAATGTAGTCTAGCTATGGAGCGCTTGCTCAGTGCTGTCCTCATCAGTTCAAGCTGTAAGATCTTTCTTCTTTTGAATTGTTTTTTTAGGGCAGATTTGTTCCTATTTACCTCACATATAATTCATAACAAACATTTCTTTTCAGTAGGAAACATGAAAATCAATAAATAAGCAAATAAAACAAGAAATAGAGAGGAAATATTATAATCCATTTGAAGCATTATTCCCAGTTTTATATGGACACTGGTCTTTGCTGGGAGCTGAATGGCATGTCAAATATGTTCATATTTAATATATCTTAACAACAATAACTAACAGGCTTTCGGTTGATTTAAAGGATTTTATCAGAACATAATGCAGATTTTTTTTTGTCAGACCAAAAACAAAAGTGCTCCAACTACATTTCATTTCCATATACACAACAACACATACTTAAAACAGGGTTCTCCAATATTTCTTATCCAGAGAGCCATTTTATCCTAAGCCCATCTGAATAAAAGTCGTAAACATTAGATGAATTTTACATAAAACACAACTTATAATGTTTAATACCATAAAATACAATTTATTATTTATTTTAAATGAATGCAAAAATTGTTGCCATTTCAATTCACAGTCTATTTACATTTTTATTTATTTTTTAAATAAGGACAGGACATTAAAGATTCATGAGCAGGAAGCAATGATTTTTGTGCTATAGGATATTATTCTATGTAAAAACTAAACATAGTTTACAAGCTAATATAGAATGATAGAAATATAGAATGATAGAATGTCAAAAACATACAGTATTTCTGATTCTTTAATCTCATTCTGATATGAAAATTAAACTCAAATGTTCTTTAAAAAACCTGCAAAAGTTTGTAAGAATGGTATTTATTAAGATACGATGTTGAAAACGATTCATTGGCTCTTTATAATTTTTTTATCCAATATAGAGGGTCCAAGTGAGAGCTGCATGTTTAAAGTAAATTACATTTAAAATAACAAACATGATTTGATGAAATGGACGAAAGAGAATATGAACAATATAAAACCTGTCCTCTTATTTCATGAATACAAAAAAAATATATTCAAATACATTTACAGCAGAATCAGACATTTTACTGCATTGTGCTGCTAACAGATAGAGAGAGGTTCTGGGGAAAAAAATAGTTTCTTTTTTTTTTCTTTTAGCTGGTCAAAAGGGATTATTTTCTCTTTTTTTTAAGGATAGAAAGATTGAAAAATCCGAAAAGGTCAAAGAAATCAAAGTTTTTGTTGTTGTAAGCATTTCCCTTTCATCTGAAAGGTAAAGGGAGAAGTTCCAAGCTTCCATCACCAACTCTGAATTGTTAAAGGCCTTTGGATAAAGGAAAAAACATTTTCAACAACAACCAAAAAAAATGAAACCCTGTTCTTTTTTAACCATTTTCTGGAAGCACCATGTTCTAGCTGACTGAGAATCTTCATTGGTAGCTAGAAATATTATACCCAATCAACAATGGCTGAATGTTTGAAAACAGTCACTCTTCTTTATATGTTCTCATAGTACCAGATGCTAAGAAAATACAAAAAGGACCAGAGAATTGACTTGTAGACAGAATGAAACCATCATTGGGTAAGTTATTTCATGCTACGTCCCTATTAGGAGCAGGAATGACAAACACTGCCTCTGGCCCAGGGCTCTGGGTAGTCTAGTTTGGTTTTTGTGTGGTGTTGCTATGACAGTAATGACAATAGTGAGACAGAGCAGCAGTCATGAGGAAGCTGAAAGACAGTGGAGATCCTGTTGGTGGGTTTGGGAGAGAAACAGGAGGAGGTTTAGAGGCTATTCACCGCCTGTTTCAGCCAAGGACGTTGACTGAGGAGCTTTAGAGGCAGCAGGGTGAGAGGTTAGAAAAAAAAAAAAAGGAGGAGGTCGATGAAAGAGAATATTGGGAGAAAAGTCTGACTGTTTGATAGGCGCTGGTTGGAAGAGGCTTCTTGGAGAGAAAACTGCTCTGTTCATCAACTGAGTTTCAGACTTCCAAAAAGCAGAGCAGAGCAAGACAAAAGGGGGTGTTAGAGCAGAAGATGGAGACTGCTGACATTATCATGAGTCTCAGGGGAATTCAGACGCTCAATAGATTCTACATTTGGTCTGTTTTCCCGCACATAGAAGATCGTTGGGATCTGAAACAGGACTGGGTCGGCCATGGGTCAGGCTGTCTGCAGTTGTGCTGATCTTGGCGCTGCTGCGGCGCTCTGCATCTGGAAAAAGACACGTTCAACAGAGACAAGAACCAATGCTTTTGAAAGATGACCTCATTTGTGGTTTAAAAGTGTGAGGTTTACTGAAGCCGCTTTATAGATACCAGATCCTAACAAATACTAAATAAAAAGCACGTCTTGTTGTTTTTTTTGTCACTGTGACATATTTGATTACCGGTTCCTGTTTGAACGACCACATTTGCTTCTGTTTGCTAAATTCCAGAATATCTTTAGTTGTTAATTTCGTCAAAACCAGACTAACATGCATCAACGCTACCATGCATTTAGGCAATTTGGGAAAGATAATGAAGATATAAAGGCTTTGACACATATAATAGTTTAAGCTAAATGGAGGCACTCCTGTGGATGTGTTTCAAGGCAGCAGCCCAAACACATTTCCGGTGGCATGAAGGATATAAATAGATCAGCTAAGATCATAGGATTAAAATAATGGAGCTCCACATTTCTAGCTCAGGTTTGTGTACACATTTTACCTGCCAGAGTAAGCCTTACTCATTGTTTTAACAATTATAGGTAAAAATTAAACAGAAACAAAAAAGCATCATAATAAACAAGCATTATATTTCTCAGACAGGAGACGGGTTCTCTGTCCTGTAGATGGCTGTGTTCTTATCAACCAGGACAACGCTAATGACTGTAATGACACGGATTAAAAAGACTGCACTTAGATAAAAGATGGATTATAATCTGCAAAGATTTTTAGAAATAGGGTCTGTGTTATGATTAAACAAAAAATTTAAAAAGGAGGGAAGCTTTTCAACCTGAGAACATTTCCTGACTGTGGGGATGGCAGCATCATGCTGTGTGATTGCTTTGCTCCAGGAGGGATTGGTGAACCTTACCGCGTTTTCTTCTATATGCTGTTCTATGTATTTCAGGATCTTTAGGATTTTAACTATTTTAATCTTAAGGTTTTATGCCTGTTTTTTGTTTATTTTGTAAAACAATGATCCATAATCGGTGCTAGGTATTTATCACTATATCTTTACAGCTGTGAAGGTCAAATGCTTGATTAGAGGATTAGATTAAGAATGCTTTTGTTGTTAGATGCTAGTTTAGTTCAACCACAGCAATTAAGGCTTTGTTATGGTCTGAGAGCGGGCTGCATGTCTGTCTCCGACCGCTGGCATCACCCATTAATGAATACTGGAGCGAAGCCTCCTTCAAACACAGCATATGATACATGATATCAAAGACTAATGGCTGCGATTGTGTCAGTCAGCGGCGAGCTTTTGGAAGCTCCACAGCTCTAATATGGTTGCTGAAATAATGATGAACCTTGGCATAGGCCCTGACTAATTGGTGATTAATATTTAATTGATCCACCTTTATTACATCGATGATCAGCCTCAGGTTGTTTATCATCACAGTGTTTGACTTTTCCAGTCAGGCGGTGTTCATGTTGAAGTGTCGGGGCATGTGTGTGATCCCTAACATCAGAGAGCGAGTACCGGATCAGGGAGTTTAACTGAGCTTTTCTAGTGTGTTGTGGGTGAAATGCTCCGTTTGAATTGAGGAAGTTTTGGGCTGCATGTCGGGGTAGTGTCAGTTTCCTGTGTGACTGACTGAGCAAAGGAGGAAGCGATTTGACGGAAGGGGAGCACTTCCTTTAAACACCCACTGCTCTCTTCCCCGTCTCTTCGGTGCTACAAAGAATAAAAAGGGTCCCCCCCTCCCGGGATGTTTATGACCTGACAAACTCTAAGTACCTGTGTGTAGACATAGGTTGGACCTGTCTGACTCTGAGCCCTCTCTCTCCACACAGAAAGCTTCCTGCTGACTCAACAGAAATCTTCAGTCTTCTCCGTGGTAAGATCACTGGCACTTACAACGCACCATCCTGCTCTATATAATAAATCTAATATGATAAAGGCATGTGTTTTATGCTTCAGCATTTCAAATCTGTAGCTTTCGTTCCCTTTACTTCCTGAAAAGACCACTGTTTAATGTTTTTAACAAAAATGTTGTCTGCTTACCGTAAATATAAGATAACATTCCTTATGGTTTCTGTTTGTTCTTTTGGTATCAGGGTCCCTGATAAATGTCTAAGTTTAAACAATTTGAGGCAGCAGGTGGACCATGTGTACTGCACCTGTCTATCTGCTTCCGGAGGTTTCATTGCTGCCAAATTTCACACTTGCTCCCTCTGAGTCCACTCAGCTGGAAGGCAGAGTGCCATGTTAAACAGCTGCGTGAGCGGATGCGCCGTGCAGACGGTAGAGTTGAAGAGAATAGAGATACAGCTGCTGCTTTCCTTCATGACACACCAAATGTTGTGGTTTTATAAAGGGATCAGTGCTCTACCATTCTGAATCCTGAGGAGAAGGGTCAACAGGAAACAAGATATGATCTGTTATGCTTTTCACCGTCTGGAGCTTTTGGCCTCTTTTTCCTGCAGTAACTTTCCTCCTCAGTCTGTCCTTCGTGTGCCTCTGAGTTTGTCATGAGGAGTCATGAGACTGGATCTGATAGAGGAGCGCTGACTCTGTTTGCTTCTTCATTTTTTTTCAGCTCCTCTCATGCTGTCTGAGCATGGATGGTACACAGGACGGGGTTCAGATCGGAGAAAACAAGTTCATCAGCAAGTAAGCTTTCATTTCATTCCCACGTAACTTCAAACGGGTTGAAATTAAAAATAAATGTTTGTTGATGATTGGTCTTCTTTTTTTGGGGGGGGATTCTTTGTTCTTTGCTGATTTATGGATCATTAGAAGTAATTTAACCGTTTTAACTAACTAGTTTGTAATATTTTAAACATGATATTTACACTTTTAGAAGCAACAGAATTATTGGTAAATAGATGTCATGTTAGAGTAAATGTCTGGCATCCCTGCTGTTCATACATTGTTCAGCATCTCTCTTCTAATAGCACAGCACTTAGTCTCCTCTAATATTTCAAAAGGTGGGAGCATACAGAAAGTGATCTTGGACCATTCCTCTCTTCAGCTCCCCTAAAAGGTTTTCCGTATTCCAGCATAGATGGCCCTGGCAGAAGCCTGGTTTCGGCTCATTATCCTGATGAGAGAACCATTGCATCTAGTGATGCATCAATAATTTGGCCGACAAAAGTTTTCGGACGAATTTTCGGTTTTCAGGCACTTAACACTGAAACAACATGGCAGAAACTTGTGATGATGTGACAAACAGCACATCCAGCTCACAAAAACATCATCAAGCACGAGAACAGGACTGAAGAAAAACAGCACAGGTAGTGGAGCAAAGTTTTCAGAGTTGAACACTGAACATGCAAGTTAAAACACTGCACATCGGTCTCACTGCACACTCAGGTCAGAGGCATTAAATGCCATAGAATCCAAACGTTCTTAACATGAGAAGAACGAGACATGAAAAAGTCTGTGGCGGACATGTTTTAGCACTTCGTAGTGACTCTGCTAAGCAAGAGAGCACATCAAAAGTCAGTGGTAAATAAATATTTTGATACTTATGTATTTGATTTTTTTAAATACCTTTAGTTTAATAAAATAATGAGTTTTTTAAGAGGGTTAGTACACATCATAGCCAAAAATTATATGGTTTTAATATTTGATATAATAATTTCTTCGGTTTCGGTTTTTGGCCTTGGTTTCCTAATTTTTTTGCTCTAAGTTTCGGACAAGGATTTTCCTTTCGATGCATCCCTAATAGCAACCATCCATCCATCCATCCATTTTCCATCACGTTTATCACTGCCAGGGTCACGAGGGGTGCTGGTTCCTATCTCCAGCTGTCAAGGGGCAAGAGACTGGGTACACCCTGGACAGGTCGCCGGTCCATCGCAGGGCAACACAGACACAAACAGGACAAACAACCATTCACGCACACATACACTCACACCTAAGGAGAATTTTGAGAAGCCAATTAACCTAACAGTGATGTTTTTGGGCTGTGGGAATAAGTCGGAGGTACCCGAAGAGAACTCACACATGCAAAGGGAGAACATTCAAAACCCATGCAGAAAGATCCCGGGCTGGGAATCGAACCCTACCCACTGCCTACTGTGCAGCCCTAATGGCAACCAATCTTTTTTTCTTTTTTTTAAATCTGAATCTAGCAGTTTTATTTAACTCTCGCCTGTTTTCAAAGGACTTGTGATACTGGGAACACAAAGTAAAGTTTGGCATGTAGATGGAGTCTTGTGGTTGTTATGGCGACACAGTCTTCCCAAAATGCATCTCTTTGTTTTGAGTTTATTGGCTGCAGGCTAACAGTCTTTTTACCTCCCCTACCGTCCTGCTTCATGTTTGGTGCATTATAAATAAGGGTCCTTGTCAGACATAGTGGTCAGGGGGGTAACACAAATCTCTGTGTGATTCAGTGGTGCTGTGAAGCCCTGCTTAGAGTCTGGCAAAAAACAACAACACACATTTGAAGGTGACTGCTGGTTAAGTTTGAAAGGGACTCAAAACTCAAAAAATGTCAAGTATAATAAACAATAATTCAGTTCCCACGCTTGCTTATTTTAAGAGGTTGCTAATGGTTTCATTTACTATAGTACTAGTAATTCAAATGAAACTGTTATAAGATTTTCTTAAATTAAAGTTAGCATTTTTCAAGAAATGTACAATCTCAGCATAAAGTTTAGCGATAAACAATTGCTTTATTTTATTATACATTGACACATCTTTTGCTGGGGTTCCAGTGACTGCTAGTAGAACTGTAGAAATACGCATCAACATTACCTCTATAGCTGAGAGACATGTTCAGATATTTTGAACACTGTCATAAAAGTTCAAGAAATCATTTGTAAACATGATTACAGTGAACACAAAGGTGGGTTCATATTTTGAACAGGTTCTGATGTTGTCACATAATAAAGCCGCTGAGAGAAAGAACTGAGTTTTGCGTTCCTTTTTTCTTCCTCAGCTGTAAAAAAAAAAATGTCAGAGTAGTGGTGATTTTATACGTTTATAAGGCAGAGAAGAGGAATGTACATGTATACTGGCTGGAAATGAACCTACCAGCACTAAAAAAGTTTCATATCTTCATGTGTTCTGTTTAATAATGTTAAAGTAATGAATCCAATATGCTTTTCATTAAATTCTGACCACACAGCAAATCTGTTTAAGCTCATGTGCTATGTTTGGTGCTTTCATTGCCTTTGCTAAAATATAACATTTTATTTCTGCCTTCAGAGCAACAGTCCTTTCACATCTTAAAACCTACAACCTTTATTATGAGGGACAGAATCTCCAGCTGCGGCACAGAGAGGTAAGCAGTTAAAGCCGTCTCTTACCGGTACTTTTATATTTAAGTAAAAGCAGAACAGTCCCAGCGTCTCCGCTCTTCTTTCCACTTAAATCTTTCCTTTCCTATCAAATGTAACTCGCCCTACTTATTAGACTGTCTGCCCCAAAGGCGTAATAACTGTCAGCTCTGTATAAACATTGATTAGTGCCCATGTCTTTAAACAGGAAGAAGAGGAGCTGATTATTGAAGGCTTGCTAAATATCTTTTGGGGCCTGCGGCGGCCAATCAGGCTTCAGATGCAGGATGACCACGAGCGAATTCGACCTCCACCGTCCTCAACATCCTGGCACTCAGGCTGCAATCTGGACAGCCAAGGGCAAGTGAAACCAGACGGATCCAGTTACACTCCAGTGAACGGAAATGGTGACGAGGGCAGACATAGCTTATAATGAGTTAATGACAGCTTTGTATAGATCTAAATCTCTTGACTAAATCTATGAATGAACCAGGAAACAGTATCTGAACAAGACAAACCTAACAGATTATTTTTTGTCTATACATATATATATATAGTTTTCTATAATCAATTTCTATTCATTCATATCAATTTGTGAAGAAATCGTCACATCAATAAAAAGG